TTTGCGCCTGCATACAATATCAAACAGATTCGTCTCTATTTTTCTATCATTTCAATCCATCACAGATGCAGAATTAAACTGCATTTCATTAAGATCAATGTAGAATTATCGATTTGATGATAAATTACATACATTTGACTTTATATTTTCACATTTGGCATAGTTTCATCCTTACCATAGCCCTGTGTTTCTCAAACCTCTTCTGGATTAGTTTACCCCAAACCAGTTCCACTGAATTTTATGTATTGTAGTACAGGCACACCTGAGTCAAATTGGTCAACTAATCATTAGGCTATTTGAATCGGCTGTGCTAGTTCTGGAATACATCAAATACATTGACTGAAAATAATGCAAGATGACATGATGGATGTCTGCAACCCAACTGACCTTGGTTTAAGGGGAATTTGTATTATTTTCAACAGATTACAGTTGCAAAAAAAATACAATGAAACCGTATTCTCCTTAACCTACATTTACCATTTTACAAATAGGAATGGCTCCAAAAGTACACCTACAATTTATAAGAATCATCATGGATCAAATTTGGACATAGAATAGTTATTGAGTAGACATAGCTGATGTCTTTATAATTTGTGTAAATGCGCCACCGCCTGGTTAAACATTTGTTGCCTTTGGAGACAAGGGCCTATTACTATACTCAACTACTCTTGAAACCATCATTTAAAATAAGAAGCTGAAGTCAATGAACAACAAACTCAATGTCCTCAATCTAAACTCGGACTTTAATTAATTCATACACAATAAACTTTTAAAATGGATGCCGGTGCCGAAAGAGAAATATTGAAGGAAAAGTGGAAAGGCATGAAGATAAGGCCTAATCTACACATTTGTCACTCTCTCATTTGCCTGGAGATTCTCAGCGTTGATAAAGTCCTGTAAAGTTCAAAAGAAATGACCAGATTTTGCTGTCAGATTCATTTAATGCTGCAGCTAATATAAGAAACCAAAATGCTAACTTGGCTGTGATGTGAATTCAGCCAGGCTTCTTACACAGCCTCCAATAGGTTCTTCCAATAGATGCAGGATTTATGGAATAAAGTTGCAGAGAGTAGGATCATTGAATACTGCATATTGATTTGCAAATTATGGTGGAAAATAAGTATTTGGTCACCTACAAACAAGCAAGATTTCTGGCTCTCACAGACCTGTAACTTCTTATTTAAGAGGCTCCTCTGTCCTCCACTCGTTATCTGTATTAATGGCACCTGTTTGAACTTGTTGTCAGTATAAAAGACACCTGTCCACAACCTCAAACAGTCACACTCCAAACTCCACTATGGCCAAGACCAAAGAGCTGTCAAAGGACACCAGAAACAAAATTGTAGACCTGCACCAGGCTGGGAAGACTGAATCTGCAATAGGTAAGCAGCTTGGTTTGAAGAAATCAACTGTGGGAGCAATTATTAGGAAATGGAAGACATACAAGACCACTGATAATCTCCCTCGATCTGTGGGGTCTCAAGATCTCACCCTGTGGGGTCAAAATGATCACAAGAACGGTGAGCAAAAATCCCAGAACCACACGGGGGGACCTAGTGAATGACCTGCAGAGAGCTGGGACCAAAGTAACAAAGCCTACCATCAGTAACACACTACGCCGCCAGGGACTCAAATCCTGCAGTGCCAGACGTGTCCCCCTGCTTAAGCCAGTACATGTCCAGGCCCGTCTGAAGTTTGCTAGAGTGCATTTGGATGATCCAGAAGAGGATTGGGAGAATGTCATATGGTCAGATGAAACCAAAATAGAACTTTTTGGTAAAAACTCAACTTGTCGTGTTTGGAGGACAAAGAATGCTGAGTTGTATCCAAAGAACACCATACCTACTGTGAAGCATGGGGGTGGAAACATCATGCTTTGGGGCTGTTTTTCTGCAAAGGGACCAGGACGACTGATCTGTGTAAAGGAAAGAATGAATGGGGCCATGTATCGTGAGATTTTGAGTGAAAACCTCCTTCCATCAGCAAGGGCATTGAAGATGAAACGTGGCTGGGTCTTTCAGCATGACATTGATCCCAAACACACCGCCCGGGCAACGAAGGATTGGCTTCGTAAGAAGCATTTCAAGGTCTTGTGCTCAAGACCAAAGGAAAAATAAAATAAATATCTTACAAGAAAATAAACTTTGACTCAGTGTCAATTTGCACTTAGGTTTGTGTCCTCAGAACAGTTATCCTCATTATCCTCAAGGGCAATATAGGCACTTTCAGCTACATTTTCTGGAACCATATTTCAGTATGTGTAAGCAGATGTTAGATGAGAAAAGTAAAGTGTAACAAGTAACATTTAAACAAGGGAAGATCACAGAGCATGGTGGAGTTGTTTTTCTGCTACTGTTTTATTTGAATTTGTTCTTTACTGGATTTTCATGGACCAAACAATGGTAAAACACTGTGATACAGTTTCCCTCTTTGGGTACAACCGACTAACACAAGTGTTCAAATTATCCCTCTATAAAATTGACTAAAGTACCTACATACAGTATCTCTCTTTCTCTACCTCGATCTCACAAGCTACTCACACACCGACACACGCTCACTCTCACTATCACACACATACATAGAACATGCACTCTTTCTGTATCACACTGTCTAACACCCCCCCCCCCCCCACCCCACCCCCACACACACACACACAACAAACCCACACACAATAGAATACATTCTCAGGAAAAGTAAATCATACATTTTTTTGCATTTCATACCGATTTTCATTATCATCATCATCAAACACACTAAACACCCAAAACATACCTCAACAGAAAGTGGGTGCACCGTACCAACATTAGCTATACCTCTGCAGGCGGCAACCATTTTGAGTGGACTGAGTGGACAAACTCCTTGGTTGTATCTGAAAACATTATTAGCTGTCAAATCAATGCATGCCCCGCCCTTGCTCACTCAATTCCACTCAAAGCTCATTGGAGGAGAGGTTGCAAGGTCCCTCCCCCGGACAACCTCCTCCAATGAGCTTTGATTTGACGACTAGTAACGTTTTCTGACACAACCCTACATGGGCCAAGTTATCATTCTGATTGGAGAGAGCTTTTTGTAATGACCTTGTGTAGAGATTCTGTCAAACAGAACACAGACACCTCGTCAGAGGAAACGGCTCTACACACAACAGTGGGGGTTACGGTTAGACTGGGATGAACAGACCCTGGATCAGTGCTGGGGCACAACACAGAATTTATGAATGAGTGACTATATCTGACCCCATATCAGTGGCCTTCAGTATTTGGCCTCTAGGTTAGAAGATACAAGCCATATAATTATGCTTATTGTCCTTGTGCCCAGCACAAAGAATTGAAGTTGTTTATAACCGTGTAGTAGCGGTGTATTAGCAGTTTAATAGGTGTGTAATAGGAGTGCTATATTTAAGCAATAACGCCCGAGGGGGTGTGGTATATGGCCAATATACTATGGCTAATGGCTGTTCTTATGCACAACACAATGCGGCGTGCCTGGATACAGCCCTTAGCCGTGGTATATTGGCCATATACCACAAACCCCCAAGGTGCCTTATTGCTATTATATACTGGATACCAACGTAATTAGAGCAGTAAAAATAAATGTTTTGTCATACCCGTGGTATACGGTCTGATATACCACGGCTGTCAGCCAATCAGCATTCAGGGCTTGAACCACCCAGTTTATAAATGCAAACGGACTCTGCTGGAGAGTGTTACAAGGGGGAGAACAATGAAAGTGTAATTTTGTCAGAACGTTTGACTACTTGCGGTCAGTTTGGGCGCTTTCTGGGTTATGGTTACAGTTGCAAGTGCTATGTACATACAGATACTCTCATAGACATCACAATACTTTCAAACAGACCTCTGCCTCTGTATCTCTGCTACTACATTCACCTCCAAACCAACACTCTCGTCATCACACAATACATATTTTCTCCACTTGCATTGTGCAGAAATATAAACAAACTTACAGATTTGTTATAGATATTAAATCAACAGTCTAGGTTGATGATTTACAGAAACTGGGAGAAGTCCAAATAGGACAGATTGAGAAAGTGGACACTCGTAAAAAGCAGGTGGTTTTGAGTATGCACTTAGTGCCATCATATAAGAAGCTTTACACAAAACACCCCTTTTCTCTGGCAGCTAGTCAGGAGGGTCTTAAAGGGATGAGGCAGTTAGGAGATGGGAGCACACCCACAACTAAAGTAGTAGTGCGTCGTTAAGGACATTTCCCTTTAAATGATTACTTACTGGCAATACTGCTTTTCAGGCCAAATGGGTGGATTTGACAGTGTCTGTCTAAAGATATTGAACACTGGGGGTTTTGGGTCTGGGTTACTAGTGTGGTGAGAACAAAATGGGACATATTTTTGCCTCTCTCTTTGCTACAACCAAGGTGATACATTTCTATACAACACAAAACATAAGGAAAAATGTAACTTAGATTTTTTTCTACAGTTTACAATATAAAATTCAAGTGCAATTAAAGTTCCAAATATTAGTTACATCACATACATTTCTCTCTATAGTAACGTCTGTTACTTGCAGGTAGTTTTTTCATCTTGTTATATATATCTTTCAAAAAGAAAAAAAAGTGACATTTTTTGAAAATCAAACGTATTCGTTCACTGTACTCAGTTTGAGGTGGAATGGTCTGGGATGCTGAAATTAGAAATGTCTTTAGAAATAATTTCCCATGTGAAAATGCTGATGTAAAATATGATTTAAGTGCACCAATCGTTTTTTTTCTGACTTCCATCTTGTGCACGCCAGGGGCCTTTTAAAATAACAAAATAAAGATACATCCATGTACCTGCGTGTGACGTCACTCTCGCACACCATCTACGTGCACATACGTATGTTCACACAAACACAAATAACATACGTACATACATACACATACATTTTACTTGTAACCAACATGTCTGTACGTACATATATATCTAACATCCATGTTGTGGGCTTCTGCAAGTTCTTACACATATAAATATAACCAAAAAAAACAACAACAACACAAAAACAAACCAAAACAAACCAAAAGTACAGGGGAAAAGGTGGAAAGTTAAAACGAGGACTGCAGAAAAAAAAAATACAAAAGAGGGAGAGACGGTTCTCTGTTCCTGTGCAGGGAATGCTGGGATAGCGAGCAGGAGGAACTCTGGGTAGGGTTGGGGGGTGTGTGTGTGGGGGAGGAGGGGTGTAAGAGAAGTATAGGGGTGTAGAAGAAGTGTTTGAGAGTAGAGGGGGTGTAAAAGAGAGGGATAGAGTGGCGGGGGGGTGTAGGAGAGATGTATGGGTATAGACTTGGGGATAAGAAGACATATGGGGATGTTGACAGGGTAAGGACGTAGGTGAAGAGTAGGGAGGAGTAGATGGTGGAAAGGGGGCGTAGGACAAACATAAGGGGTAGGTGTCTGGGTAGCAGACAGGGGGCGTAGCAGCCTATTTGTACGGCCGTAGGAACCGTGTGACTTTGGAGCGCAGCAGTTTGATGAATGAGCGGGGGAACATGTCTTTGGACTCCTGGGCCGTGTACCTGAAGTAGTTCTGGGGGTGAGCCAGCACATCAAACAGGGCTTTGATCAGTTTTTTATCCTGCAGGGAGGAGAGGGGGAGGGAGGGAGAGACAGAGAGACAGATGGAGGGAGTTATCAGTGAAGATAATATACCGTACAGTGTATAGTATTATTTATTAATTACAATATATAATATACAGTAATTGGACATAATGGAGAGTTGCTTACTTTCAGTATCTCTTGGTGATTCTCTGATGCGTATAGCCTGCCGTCCCGGACAATGTCCTCTATCAGCTGCTGGTAGTCCTCTACAAAACAACAGACAGGAGGAAACACGGGGTTACATGATTCAGCTGACACAAAAAGTGACGTAAGATTCCACCATCAAACACACCTTGTCGTCCTGTACATTATAGTTCACTTAATAAGGCACATGTGACTGTTAGGGAGTCTGAGCAGCACACTGACCATCGTAGGTGACATAGGGGACTTGGAAGCCCTTGCCGCTGTTGCCCTCATTGGACTTGAACTGGATCCAGAGCTTGCGGGAGCGGGAGGTGAAGGCGATTGGCCGCTCGTAAGTCTGACACGTCTCATAGGTGGTGATGGAGGTGGGCAGGGCTAATGGAAGAAGAGGGAGGGTCTAAATGTAATTGACAGACAGATGGACCAACCAAGAGTTTGGAATCAGCTGAAATAATAAAACTTGATGAATATTAAAATAGCAATAGGATATCCCTGACAACAAGATAGACTAACTACAATAATGTAACAATCTAATGGCTGGCTAGCTGATGAAATTAAAAATCACGCTGTCTTATTGGCTGGCAGAGTAACGATGACTTCCTGGTTGTGCGTACCACTCTTTCTCATGACGAGCACATCTCCACACTCATCTTCGATGGGGAGGAAGATCTCAGGCACCACGATGAGGATGCGTCTCTTGTGAGGAGGGTTGATGGTCCAGATACAGTCTACATTGGACGGGTAGTCCCCGGGGTAGTTAGGAGACTCAATAAAGCCTGTAAAGTCCCCCAGCTCACCCCCACACACCTGGTCTAAGACAGGGAGAAGAGACTTGGATGAGTAAGGGTGCACTGGAGACTATGGATTTAAATTGAACTAATTTATCAGCAAGGATCATGTTTATAGCTTAGAGCAGTGGTTCTCAAACTGTGGGGGAGGGGTCGGCAGGGGGGCGCGTGGGGGTCCCCCACACCCCTCCCAAAAATAAAACAAGTGCTCAGCATATGTGGGAACTCCTTCAAGACTGTTGGAAAAACATTCCAGGTGAAGCTGGTTGAGAGAATGCCAAGAGTGTGCAAAGCTGTCATCAAGGCAAAGGGTGGCTATTTGAAGAATCTCAAATATAAAATAGATTTAGATTTGTTTAACACGTTTTTGGTTACTACATGATTCCATATGTGTTATTTCATAGTTTTGATGTCTTTACTATTATTCTACAATGTAGAAAATAGTAAAAATAAAGAAAATCCCTTGAATGAGTAGGTGTTCTAAAACTTTTGACCGGTAGAACTCAGTCTGGCTTTAAACTTACTTTTGAAAGTTGTAATAGTAGAATGCACAAGGTGCAATTTCTAAATTGGGTAGCGCCTCATCAGTTCCTCTTGTCATGTTAGTCATTACATACCTTAGAGAGCTATTTATAACTTGTCAGAAATGTCCAGATCAACTAGCCCCATGTCAGCTACCGTTATTATATTTTGTTTTTTTGTCCATAGATATTGTTGTCATTTTTTTGTCACTCAAATATCACATGAATACACATTAGACATGACAAAATGTGTAGAATTGCAAGAAATAAGCACAATTATTATCTCTCCACCAACAAGAGGGGTGTGTACAGTTGGTGTCATGAGCAGTGCTTGTGCCCATAGAAATAGACGTGGCGTGAGCGCGGGATGTTCCCCAATGCTGGAAGGGAGACCCCGAGTGAAAAAGTTTGGGATTCCCTGGCTTAGAGTTCACAGAGGAAACTGAAATGTTTTAGCACGTGTCACACCATGACAACTTGTCATTTGTGGGCTATGGTCTAACGAGATGTCAAGCTTAAATGAGTCCTCTAACCATGTGCAACAGTAAAATAATTCACTGCAGTAATGAACTAATGTGAGACTGGCCTTACTCTTGCAGTGAGAGACGTTGGTGGCTCCGTCAAAGTCGGTGGTGGTGTTGCCAGGGCAGGTGATGCAGTAGTTCTGTCCAAACTCTGACTGGTAGGTGCCGGCTGGGCAGCGGATACAGCGGTGGTTACTGGAGTTGTAGTGGTGTCCAGGAGCACAGTGGACTATGGAGAGAAACACACACAGCCACAAACATTAAGTAACACATGCACAGACATTCTCACACACAAGCATGCACGTATGCAAACACACACACACACACACACACACACACACACACACACACACACACACACACTCACTCTCTCTCTCTCTCTCTCTCTCCGTGTTACCTTTGGCCTCACAGTCCCTGAAGGCGACAGAGCCCTCGTACTTGGTCATGAGGCCTCCTCCACAGGAGAAGCAGAGGACACGACCAGGCTCCGGCTGGAAGGAGCCCAGGGGACAGGGGTTACATGGACGAAACCCATCTGATGAATACTGACCAGCCGGACACTGGCCTGGGAGAGGTGGGGAGAGGGAGAGAGGAAGAGAATTCATAAGGTATAACAAGGTTCTATGACATAAATCTCTTCAACTGCTCTATGCTGGAAATTCAACTACAATGAGATCTAGTCAGTTCCATAGGTTCAGGTTTTCCAGAGTACTGCTAGTGAAGTTATCAATTTTAAATCAAAAGGCAGCGCCCAACGTGGGGCTCGAACCCACGACCCTGAGATTAAGAGTCTCATGCTCTACCGACTGAGCTAGCCGGGCTGATATATCTATGTAATCCTGGTCTTTGCTGCTTTCTAGAGGACAAAGTGGGAAATGCCTTGAAAGACTGTGCTCGCCAATAGAACTGGAATGTTGTTTAATAACCACAAGGTGGTGCCAAACTACAGCACACATAAGACGAGCACAAGCACGCACACACACACAAACACGTACAAACACACACGCACACTCACCTCCGCACTGGGAGACGTTCTTGGCCCCAGCGATGCCCTGTCCCTCGGTGCTGGGGCAGGGTTCACAGGACAGCTGACCCATTGTGTCCTGGTATGTACCAGGGACACACACAACACACTGATCATGGTCTCCACTATAGTACGTCCCCACACCACAACTCACTGAGACAGGGAGAGAGATAGACATACATACACACAGAGAAAGAGAGAGAGATGAGAGAGAGATGTTTAGCATATCATGGTATGGTATATCACACATACACTGCATCAAACTGAGACAGATGTCTCCCTTAAGTGTTCAATGGAGAAGATGCATAAAGATGGAAGAATTCAGATATGACGTCATTGTTTTTAGCACTACCCACAGAGTTCTTAAACTACGGCGCGCGACATGGTTCAATGTGACAGTAAATCAGCACAATCAACTTTTTCGGTTTTTCAAATTGCCGCCGTCTTGGAGCTAGAATTGGGATCATGTAGGCATATACTGATACGAAAAAAGAGTAATGGAGAGCAATGTACAATACGGCGAACTGAGCAAACAAGGTATTTGTGGCAAGTACATGGGGACCGCCATCTTTATGCACCTTCACCATTGGGTTAGGGTTAGGATCTAGTGACTGAGACTGGCATGGCATAGGCTTTACATCGTTGTCATGCTCATCAAACCATTCAGTGACCACTCGTGCCCTGTGGATGGAGGCATTGTCATCCTATGGGGGCATAGCCATGGCAGCCAAAATAATGGGCAGCCTGCCTAGCATTTTTGTACATGACCCTAAGCATGATGGGATATTGATTGTTTAGGAATTGCTCAGGAACCCCACCTGTATGGAAGCACCTGCTTTCAATATACTTTGTATCCCTAATTTACTCAAGTGTTTTCTTTATTTTGGCAGTTACCTGTATATGGAACAGTAAGCTACAACAACGCCATATCCCAGGATGTCTTGCACAGGATGCTCACCACACTTGCCGTCCCGTAAGACCTGTCCGGTGCTGCATTGCTCAACGTGCAGGGCAGGTTTCTGGGCCACCTCGTACTCAGTACCAGAGAACTGGATGTAGAACTGCTGCTTGTTGATGGACTTCCTCAGGGTCCGCATGGCACTCTGTAACCTCTGCTTCATACGCTCCCTCACACACGCCACGTTACACGAGTCTGGAGAGAGGAATATACACAGTCAGTATACACACACACACACACACACACACACACACACACACACACACACACACACACACACACACACACAGCAACTCAGAAAAATACACAGTCCATGTTACATGAGTCTGGGGAGAGGAATATACACAGTCAGTACACACACACACACACACACACACACACACACACACACACACACACACAGCAACTCAGAAAAAATACACAGTCCACGTTACATGAGTCTGGGGAGAGGAATACACACAGTCAGTATACACACACACACACACAACACACACAATAAATACACAGTCCACGTTACACAAGTCTGGGGAAAGGAATACACAAGCACACACACACTCCATATAACATCAAACTCAAATTACTCACACCCATATACAGGTTACATGAGTCTAAAATGTGGAGTATATGCAATCAACACACACACATACACACACTGACCTGAGGTTGCACAGTCACACTGACCTGAGGCTTCCTCCTCCTTCATCTCCATCTCAAACTCAGCTGTGATGTGGGAAACCTCTTTGGAAGGGGACTTGCGTCCACGGCGCCGCTTCTTAGATGAGTCACACTTCAGATTGACAAAGGTCACCTGGCAGTCATCAGAACAGGGGAGCGGACCCCCTGAGAAGAAGAGGGGGAGGATGAGGAAGAAGATAAGGAGAGGAAGTTGATAGGATGCTGTTGTGCATTGTTTAGTATTGATTGTTTCGGATTTATGGCAGGTGTAAGGGTACAGCTCAGGACACATCTAACTGTCGGTTACATTACTGCTACAGTATCTTGCATCATGTATACCTTCTTAGTCTTAGTTCAGTCTGTATTACTTGATGTTGTACACTCTAAGTTAGGAGTAGCATGTGTTATACAGTACAGTTTGTACAGTCAGTTAGGAGTAGCAGGATTTACCTTGCAGGCTCGGCTTGGACGTCTCTCTGTGTTTTTCCTTGTTCCTGGGTCTCAGGTGACACTTGGCATCTTTGATCTTGAAGCGGGCCTTCTGCTTGATGGGTGGGGGTAACGTATCTTCATTTACATAAAGGAGAAAGACAGAAACATACACTAATGAATAACCTTTTGACATCCTATGAATAACATCATAATTACGGACAGGAGTTTTATCCTGATCACCTGACCTGACCAACTCCTGGCCCTGAAGATAGTCTACTACCCATGGCATATGATCACACACTTTAGAGGGCATCTCCAGGCCACCTTTATTGGTGTTCCCTGGTTGAGGTGAAGTTTAGGTCAGAGAGGAACTAACACAGCCAAATGCTTCATCACGCTCTGTCTGTCTCTCCAGCAATATGGCAAAACCAAAACCCACATCGTCACGGTGATTAGCAGTCCAAAAGGGAGGAAGGTAGACGGAAGGTAGACGGAATGTGTGTGTTTGTGTCTGTTTGTCGGTCATGTGTTGGGTGGTTGGGATGGCTGTCCTTTTAACGAGGTGCTGGAGACACGCAAGGGTCAGAGAGTGTGTGTGGTTATGGGTACGGTGAGTGAAGAGGGACATTGAGAGCGGAGCCAGGTAAACACACAGCACAGTGAGAGGCCATAGAGGGGCTGTGTGTGTGGTTCTGTCCATGAACCATTAACAGCAGGCTCACCAGGACACCACTGGCTCCAGTTTGCTGCTGTAGAGCAGAGGCGCTGAATGGACTGAGCTGTCTGTGGTTTGGGACACAATATAAATCTGTCTTCATCCGCATTGTAACAATCATCATCATCACCACCATCATCATAACAGTCATCTGCCACTTCCGTTATCAGAGCGTGAAATTATAGACCGTGATGAGACCGTAGATGAACCGTAAGCGAATCATATGTCCGGGGGAGCTTTGAGATTCTTAGGGAACGGTCCACGATTGGCGCTCTGAGGTGAGCTGTATTTCATATCACTTAACACTCACACCCCCAGCCAGATAGATGGGGTCTCTCTCTCTCTCTCACACACACTCTCTCTCTCTCACACTCTCTCTCTCTCTCTCACACACTCTCTCTCTCTCTCTCTCTCTCTCTCACACTCTCTCTCTCTCTCTCTCTCTCTCTTTATCTCTCTCTCTCTCTCTCTCTCTCTCTGTCTCTCTCTCTGCATTCCTCTGGCTGTGCGAGGGCCCTCTCCCTGTCCAAAATCTACAGAGTGCTGAAGGAAATATAGGAGTGACGCTATGGCAAGCACCAAAGGCAGGGGAGTGAATATTCCGATGGAGGGAATGAAGAAATGGAGGAATTTAAACCCACCGACATGGGGAGAAATGAAAAGATGACAACTACATCGACGTCAAAAGGTCATGACTGAGCTGCGAGACCCTGATCTCACTGTAAGTGTGTGTTTTATTTGAAGTGGTATGGTTAAATATCTTTATATTGAACAAAGCATGACATCTCTGACTACAGGTCCCATAATGCATTGCATACCTGCACAGGTGAGCAGGGCGGTGGTGGCGTTCCTCTTCTGTGGTGCCTTCCCAGGTTGCACCGGCACACCACAGCTTAGCGTGTAGCTGTTCTCAGAGTCTGGTGGGACACAAACACAAATACATGTCAGTTACAACCCTGTCCACCCAAGGTCAATCCATTTACACCAGCTCTGCGTGCAGTATCCCTGTCTTCTGCCACTGGTTGACTTGTTTATGGCTATTAAACCCACAGCCCTGAGGGACAGGGTGACATGGGACATGAGGAAATATGGGATTGCTGTCAAAGTGATAGAGGGGCCCGTCTGAGGAGCAGTGTGACCCAATCTCCCTGCTCCGCTAACCGTCTGGGGGAGGGGTGTGTGTGTGTGTGTGTGTGTGTGTGTGTGCTAGCCATCTGATGGCAGTGTGTGTTTCTCTTGGCTAGTTGAGGAGTAAAATACTTTTATTCGTTTTCTATGGCCTCACTTTCCCTAATATTTAAGAGCTACAGGAGACTGCCATATGAAGTCTGCCATAAAATAAAACACACTCACGCACACCTCAGTCACACACACACACAAGCATACACACACATTTCCTGAGGGATGGAGAGAAATTATGTACCGAATGACAGATCTATGCTCATTCATGAATGTTCACGCACATACGTACACACGCACACATACACATACACACACACACACACAAACACACATGCATATTTAGTCAGAAATGAGGGATGAAGACTTCAGAGCTCATAAAGCGGGAGATGACTGAAGAAGAAACAGGACTTTGCGTGCAACCACAAGAATTTAAAAGCTTTCCTTCTCCCCCAAATGAAGACATTCTCCAGAAAGATAGAAAAGCACTATTATTCCACTTTGTGTTTGAGAGCTATCCATCAGTCTCACACTACAGCAGCCAAGCCAAACGGAGCAGGGGTCTACTCAAAGCAGTCCTAACGGAAATATGGCAGGCCCGATTAAAGAATGTAATTGTTTTACAGATGTTCCGTCTGTGTTAAGCACATTCGCAGAAGGACCAGGGTGCCTGCATTGACAGCCAATAGCTTTATAGCCCTTTATAGCCTCAGGGGCAACACCAGACGAAATCACTGACTGAGTGAAATACTGAGACATTTAGCTGAAATGCACCCTGATGGCCGGTGACTGAGATAGGTAGGTAGATAGATTAGGCCTTAATCTGAGTCCTTCATTCAACTGGGAAACTTTCAGTGGAGCTCTGCTTGAATGGAGAGCAGCGTGAGGACTGGCATTGACCTCTAGAGGGCAGCAGAGAGTATGGAGTGGCTGGAGATCAGTTAACCATGGCTACACAGGCATTGGTCATGGATAAAAGTCAGCTGAAGACTAGCGCATCGGACTAAACCTCACCAGACCAGTCCAGGTCAGAGAAGGTAGAGGATTAATGTACTTTAGGAAGTGTAGAATGCATATTGGGGGAGAGTCAAGGCTAAAGGCTAGGGTTCTTCTGGGAAGAAAGAGAGAAGGTTTGGTCTTTGGTATGAGGAAAACAGTTCCTCTTTGCTGCCAGGTGTGTGTGTGTTGGGGTGTGTAGGATTGAGCCACGTACCTGCGAGGAAGAGTGCGTTGGAAGGGCAGGAAAGCGAGCACACCTCCACCCCGCCTCTCTTGTCACAGCTGAGCTGGGCGCGTGGCGCTGGCTTCCCATTGGGCAAACACTTCACCGCCTCTGAGGAACACAGAGGGTCACATCACCATGACAACCACGACCCATCACAGTACAAAAATGATGACACACACGCACACGCACACACACACACACACACTCCTATGTCTATAGAAAACACACACAGAGTAGATGTTTAGGTCCTTACTGATGCAGTCCTTCCTGTTCCAGTGGAGCTTCTGACCAGGTGGACACAGACACTCATAGCCTCCCTGTGTGTTCACACAGCTGTGCTCACAGCTCCCGTTGTTAATGCTGCACTCATCTATGTCTGAGACACATCCACATAGAATACAGTCAGAGGGTGTGTGTGTGTGTGTGTGTGTGTGCATGTATGTGGTTGAGTATCATCACAGTTCAGAGTGACATCATCAGACAGAGCCTGTGCTATGAGTGAGTGTGTGATGTCATCAGTGTGAGACAGACAGCCCATGTCTTCTCCGTGCTCTATATCTGACTGACTAGTATGTGTTGACTGCTAATGGAACGCCCTTTAGACAGTGGCCTGTTTAGTCTACCACTGAAGAACATGGCTGTCAGCCAGACAGGGCCAAGTGAAGTGGGATCACAGCACACACACACACACCCGTCAAACCTACCGCCTCCGCATGACATGTGTGTGACAGGTACAACACACACACACACAAATGCCCACAGAGGCAGGGACGCAGGTACAGAGAATTATTCAGGGGAACTGAGGTGTGAATGTGTTTTCAGCACCAGCCGTCTGCACGTGCTCAGTTACCCCTCACCAATACTCACAATAAAAAAACTCTGTCTCTTGTTCTATTTCTCTCTCTCTCCCCTTCACTCCATTTCTTTCTCACTCACTCTTTCTCCTTGTCAGTCTCTCAGGGCTTCTCACTTTGTGTCAGTCAATTTCTTTCTATCTGTGCCTCTCCCTAGCTACCTGTCTGTCTAACTCTTTCCCATGTCTTTCTAAGTGTGTATGTGTGTGTGTCTGCCTGCACATGTGTGTGTGCATGTTTGTGTGTGTGAGTGTGTGTACAGTATGTGTGTATGTTTGTGTGTATATGTGCGTGTGTTCGTGCAATCCCATGCATGTCTGTGTCATACTCACCTCCGCAGTGTGTGAGGCCGTACAGAGTATATCCCTCCTGACAGACACACTCGAAGCTGCCAGGGTAGTTGACGCAGGTGTGGTCACAGGTCCTCTCAAAGGAACACTCGTCAATATCTGAGATAGAGGAGAAACACAGAACATATGCAATACTACTGTTTACACATGGGGTCTGTCCAAAATGGCACCATATTCCCAATATAGTGCACTACTTTTGACTAGAGCACCATGGCACCCTATTCCCTATATAGTGCACTACATTGGACCAGGACTCCTAGTGAATAGGGTGCCATTTGAGATGCTGCCATGAACTGGACCATAGTGAGTCACTCTGACCATGCCTTCACCAAGGACTGACGACAGTATAGCCAGTATCTATATGAAACATGCTAAGATTAGGACAGAGTTAACATCCATATTCTCAGTACAGTATACTGGATATTGAATGTATTGAGTTTCACTATGGGGAGTTCTTTGAACTGTCTTTTGTTTAGATTGCTAGAAGCTGTGAAGAGGAATTTCCACTAAAAGGACAATACATCTGAACTGTGAACTGTCAGTGGTGAGACAGTGTGTGTGTGTGGAGTGGGGGCTGGTGGACTGGACACTGCAGGAGCATTTCAAAATCTTCTGTCTGGAATAACAGTGTACATTCAGCCTTGTTATGTGGGTGGGAGTCTAAACAGTGACAGGCTTACAGGGTGTGTGTCAGTAAGGACGTCAGGTTGGATGCTCAAGATTCACACACATAAACACACACACACTGATCTGTGCACTCCCACACAACAAATAGACATGCCTATAATCATGGTAAAGGTTAGTTTAGACTAGTGCAGGACTACAATTACAGCCACAAAGAGCTGAGATACACACATGCAATACACAGACCCTGACAATTAAGTAATCTTCCTTGGTTGTAGCAGAGAGCATGTTTGCCTCCTTCCTCTTGAGAAACCAACAAGCTGATATATGAGTCATTCTTAGATATTACTCTCCTCGGCTCTTCTCCACACAAACACCCATTATTCAGCCACAGCTAATAAGACCAGTCCATTAATCAGACTGGAGTTCAGAGTGGAAAACAAACCAGAGCTCTGCTCACTAAACAACCCCAAGAGGTCTTCTCAGTGGAGACTTCCAGATCCAATTCAGTCCTTCAGTCCAGCCCTCCAGCCCAGGCCTGGGATAGATCAGACCAACTCACTGTGGTCAGGAGCAGGGCCTGTATGTACAGTATCAAGCATCTCAGAGTAGGAGTGCTGATCTAGGATCAGGTCCCCCCTATCAGTTTAATCATTTTCATTGTGACTTAAAAGGCCAAACTGATCCAAGATCAGCACTCCTACTCTGAGACACTTTGCAAATGCAGGCCCTGGTTTTGGTTTATAATTGTTTTATTTTATTTGAGTGAGAAAGATGTCATGACATATTTGGGTGGCTGACAGTAACAACAGCATTACTTCAGTCCAGCTTCTCCAACTCACCTGGACTATTTCAATACAAAGTCATCTGGGCTGTGGAGATTTACAGGGGCTAAAAATACAGTGTGTTATGATTAAGTTTGTCATGAGGAGGAAGTTGTTGAGGCCTGGCTTCTGTTGGCTGCTGGGCTGCTTTGCTACAGTCCTCCGGGCAACTGTCTATATGATGGGCTTGGGTTAGATTAGCATACCTGATGAATTAAACTAGCATCAGACCACAACCACAGCCACCATGCAGCACTGGAATGACTTGAGAGTGCTGTGTAAATCTCATTTCCAGAGGGTTGTCACTGTTTTTGCTTGGCTGATGTGCAGGTGTCTGTCTGTTTGGGGGTAGGGTGTAACCAACCCAGTTAGTTCCCTGTTTCAAACCCCAACCAATTGTCACGTCATCCCTGTGAGAGCATTAGGTGCTTAAAATACAGTCTATCTACCTTGTCATTGAGCCTAGTATTGGTTTAAGCGTCTTGTTGGTGTCAGGCTCTTGCTCTGGTCTGTGGCAGGGTGGGATTGATTAGTTTAGTTCTACTGTTAATTTGTATCTAGTCTGTGACAATGCTATGGCCAGGTGGTTCCCAATGGAAGCTGAGCTCTGCTGTATATGGGCACACAGTACTCTGTTGGCTTGGACCAGTTGTAGTTGTTGGATCTTGTGCCGTAAGGTTTGCTAGTTGTGTACCTTCAGGTTAAAACCGAATCCATTTTTTGTCTTCGTTTTCCTTCAATAACAATGCTGACGCTATCACGCTGCGCCTTGGTTCCACGAGTCATCAGTCAACGTTCGTGACAGTTGGGAGTCTTTATGTTCCTGATGATTATTGCACACCCCATTCTCCATCACCCCTGTCCTTGTACAGGCATAGGGGCTGCCTAAAAACTCTCTCTTTCTCTTCCCCTCCCTTTCTCTCTCAGAGGAACCTGGCATAGCTGTAGCTAGCTCTTCTCAGACACGTATTACCAGGAGCTATTTTCCCTGGAAGAGCTTACCAGCATGGAAATAATTAAATAAATAAATAAATAAAAGTTAAAAATAAAAATCTGAATAAAAATACCACTTGTTAGCAGATGGAACAACCTGCGTTGTTGGACACGGAAGCTTAGTTTACAGTCAGGTAAGCTGATGGGTGGAAGGAGCGTGTCAGTGTGTGTGTGTCTGTGTGTGTATGTGTGTGTTCCTCCCATCAGCACACACCCAGGCTGAGTGTGTTATTGGCGTGTATGGAGTTGTGTAAACTGTTTGTCGGCAGATTTTTTAGTGTTTAATATGACAGTGTTGATGTTTAATATGACACACACACACACACTGGGATAGAGTTGTTTGGTGTTTTTGGTTCGGGTACAAAAACACTGCAGGGTGTTGTTGTTAATAAAATCATTTGTGATGTTTGCCTCTCCTGTCTCTCTTGCTGTGACTTGTATAGAGGAATCTGCATTCGTCCTCCAAACATAACCAGGGATTAGATATGAAGAGAGAAGCAGAATGTCTTAATACAGCTGACAGTAAATTACACCCACTTGAGGATGTCAAGTCAACTGTAATAACAAGTCATTCAAGGTGAATGATTTGTAGGCCAACCCCTGTTCTGATTCTATGTACGATCCTGCTCTGATCATAAAGCACGTGAGTGTGTTACTATCTAGAAACTACTAGGCCAACTGTATATTCTAGTACATCCATTTCTATGGTCCCTATTCCATGACACTATCCTTTCATGATCTGATCATGGAGTGATGGCACTGTTTCCAAAGGTAACGGTCTTAAAGCGTTGTTACGGCATCAGACATGATTGTATGACAGCTGTCAGTCAGGTAGGCTTCTCACCCTGGCAGGTGCGTTCGTCAGTGAGGAGCTTGTGGCCCTTCTGGCAGCTGCACTCGAAGGAGCCCACCGTGTTTCTGCAGAAATGGTCACAGCCGCCGTTATTGAACGCCTCCTGGCATTCATCTATGTCTGTATGGAGATAAGGAGAGAGCGGGAGGGGGGAGAGGAAGAGAGAGAGAGCATTAGGTCACAGATACACTAAGGCAATACTGGTCGAAGAGAACAGTGTTTTTACGCATGCACACACACACACAGTATATAACTCTGCGTGCTAAAGTCTTACCCCTTTAGCACTCTCTCCCACACAGCCACTGCCATGCTGGGATGGAGATCTCCAAATTGGCAGACAACAGACCAATAAAAGGCCTCACTAATGCCTTGGAAATCTATTCTAAGCCTCTGTGAGAGTCTTTATGGACGGGGGGAGGCAGTCGGGGTGAGAGTAAGGGTGAGACAGGGGGAGTCAGAGAGAAGTGGGGTTTTCCGAATGCTCTTATTTGTGCTAACAGGAAGAAGCCAGGAGTTGGCAGGCCTGAAAGACAACATGAACACTGGCTGTGCTGCGTTGTGGTGGTAAAGTAGGTTTCCATCCACACAACAAGTCGTAACCACAGTGTCAGGGTGCCAGTGTGGGGCAGCCGCCCTCAGTCACACACATATTGTCACAACACTGGGAAAACATTTGCCCAGAGCAAACAAACCTATGGGAGTCCCATCGCTGTTCCCTACAGGCCTCACCTGCCTCTTCCATTCTCTTATTCATTCACTCTTTCTTTGAATTCTTTCAGATCTCTGATACAATGAATGAAGTCTCATTCACCAGTGGTTTCTTTTCTGCTGCTAGACCATTTCTTTATGCAGTTTCATTATTCTGTCTTTCTATTCAGTTATTTCTCGCTCTTTCTCTTCCTCTTGGCATGTGTGTGTCTGTGCGCACGTTGTGTGTGTGTGTGTGTGTGTGTGTGTGTGTGCATGGCTGTGTGTGTGTGTATACGTGTGTGAGCATGTGTGTGCACGCTTGCGTTTGTGTGCATTTGTGTGTGTGATGGTATCAACTGTAATGGTAGTTTCACGGTGCTCAGCATTAGACAGCATGGTACAGGCTCAGGGGGCTTGTTGAGAGATCCTCCACTAGACTATACTGTCTGATCCTATGACATGCTCTTTACCTGGAACTAATGGAACAGCCTGTTGCTACTGCTCTACACAACACTGTCTAGCCCACCATGCAAGGACTTAGAGAAGAGGAAGAAGAGAGGAGAGAGAGAGAGAGAGGCCGTAGATCGTAGAGGAGAGAGAGGAGAGAGAAGGATAGAGAGAGGGATAGAGGGAGATGAGAGAGATGGAGACTAGTAGAGAGAGAGAGAGACAACTGGTAGATAGAGAGGAAGAAAGACCGTGCAGACGCCGTGCAGATAGGAGACCGAGAGAAGAACAAATCGAGATTGACTGAGAGAGACCGATAGGTAGATATAGAGTATACATAGAGAGAGAGAGAGATGCCAGAGACAGAGAGATAAGAGAGATGAGCAGATAGACAAGGAGATACTATCGAGAGAGACTATAGAGAGAGAGATAGAATCTCTATAGATCAACATCCTTATGATCCCCTCTATATCTCTCGCTCAACATCATTATATACACTCTCTCTATCGCTATCTATCATCTCTCTCTTCATATCTATAGACCCGCACATAGAGATAGATAGACAGATAGACGGGAGAGAGAGAGAGAGTATATAGAGAGATAAGAATACTAGAGACAGAGTAAGAGATACCAGAGAGCGATAGATATCCCTCTATACTCCAGCCTAGTGGAGCTAGACATAGAGAATATGTCTCCCTCAGACATCTCTCCATCTAGGGCTCTAGTCTTCTCGTCTACTCTCTCGTAAAGGGGGTGTTGAATGAATACATAATTGAAAATCACCCCCCTCCCTTCCTTTCCTCACCCCCAAAGGCTTACACCATCCATGGGGTTTGACTGACTTTCTCATAACTTCCATCTACCCCTCCTCCCTCCTCCCCCCTTCCCCCTCCTCCTGCCCATGTGACTAGGTCTTCCTGAATCCCTGTGGAATAAAGGCCCCAGGTGTGAGAGACGATCCAGAGACGTAGATCAGGAATAATAAGCGAGCCGGATCCCCTGGGGCTGTGCATGCCGTGCCAACCCTCAAGCCTGGTGAGATCTGATTTCACACTATATCCCCCCTAACTCCATCCCTTCCCTCTCCTCTCCCCTTCCTCTTTCTAACTATGTGCCCTCAGCCGAACCCTGGAGAGGGTCATTGGGTATATTTCCCTCCTGAGAGGAGTGGCAATGCCACTAAACAAGGGAGGAAAGGAGGAGAGGAAAGAGGAGGAGGAAGAGATGGGAAAGAAAGTGGAGGAGGAAGAAAGTAGATTTAGTGGAGGAGGAGAAAAGTAGGGGAAGAAAGAGGAGGAAAGTGGAAGAGTGGCGGGAGGAGGAAGAGGACAATAGTTTGGCAGATTACACGGGCTAAGCCCTTTTTGATTGGTGCTCTAAGTGATGAAAACTGCTGGGGATTAACACCTAAGCCTTTGAGTTGGAGAGTCAGTCAAGCAAGACACCACAGGGAAGACTCAACTAAGCGAGGAACGGAGGGGAGGAGGGGAAGAGGAGGACAGGGGGGAGAAGGGAAGGAGGAGGAGGAGAGAGTGGGTAGGAGAGAAAGGAAAATAAGAGGGGAGAGAAAGGAGAGAAGGAGAGGAGGGAGAGGAAGAGAGGTGAGGGGAAGAAAAAGAGAGGGTAGATGGAAAGCAGTGGAGAAAAAACAGGAGGAGGGAGGTAGGTGGGGAAGGAGAGAAGAGAGAAGGAGGAAAGACCAAGAGAAGGAGGACGGTCAGATATTGCATGTCTCCATTGTTACCTTTGATAGTCAGTCCACCGTGCAACGAGCCTAGTCAGATAAAGTCAGGCAAATATATACAGTTGAGTTATATAAATGAACATCAGAATAAAATAGTCCTCAGACGTCACGGCCTGTGTTTTCCTATAAGAATGTATCCTGATATTAGGGAACCTCTCCATCAAGGCTGAAGTGCAGTGCAACCTCACTGTACAGTGGAATTCCATACAGTGGTTTGAGGGCATTCCTACTTGCATACATACTACAACTACAGTCAGAGGTAGTAAATATGTCAGTGTGTCTTGTCAACAGCCTTTAAGGGGATTGTCCTACATCTGGCTTTCCTCAGACTGTGGAGAATAGGGCGTTGAGTTTTTAGGAGAGCAGGACAGGACAGGTAAGGACGCACATCTCAGTACTGTCTCATGGCTGACCCTCTGAACCGATGACCTCATCGATAGCTGTGCTCTCAAGCAATGACCTCATCGAAAGCTGAGATCTCAACACTGACAGATTCACTTGCTTTCTTTCTCTCCTCTTCCATCATCATTTGCTTTTTGATGATTGCTTTGTTAGAGATAAGACCTCTTTCTCTCTATTCTGTCCTCTCAACTCTCCCTTTCCATCTCTTCCACTTTCTGTTAATTTCTTCCTCTCTTCTCCCTCATGCTGTGTTCTCCCAGGCAGCTCTACCCTGCAGTAGAATCCCTGGGGATTTTAAATCAATCATGGCTATTTCCCAGTTCCGTTTCCTTGGCATGCCGACAGCAGATCTGATCTCTATCTCAAACAGGAGAGATGGCTACCTTTCTCCAGACAGGGGATTTATTTATTTATTTATTTATTTATCTCTCCCTCTCCCTCTCTCCCTCTCTCCCTCCCTATCTCTCTCCCTCTCCCTCTCTCCCCCTCTCTCTCTCACACTCACACTCACACACACACACACACACACACACACACACACACACACACCTCCCCCGCCATCCCTCAGATGCCAATTGCCCACACGTCTACAGAAGGTATAACACTATCACCCCCAACCTACCCAGCCCAAACTCCCCAACACAGACAGAGATCCCTAATTATTCAGTAAGTCTGGCAGCCATAACCACTGGCATAGCATTGCATAGCCACCACATTTCCCCACACTTAACGGGCACTCTGTGGAAGCCTGAGCCCAATAATGGCCTATATAATTACCTTTAATTATCCTTAAATAAGCTTCAAGCTTACATAAATACATTAAGCATCCACACATCTTGAAATGATAAAAAACGTGTGTGTGTGTGAGAGAGAAATTGTGTGTGTAAATGAGAGAGAGGGAGATATAGAAAGAGTGTGAGAGAGAGGAAGAGAGAAAGAAAGAGAGAGAGAGAGAGAGAGAGAGAGAGAGAGAGAGGAAGAGAGAGAGAGAGAGAGAGAGAGAGAGAGAGAGAGAGAGAGAGAGAGAGAGGAGGAGAGAGATAGATAGATAGATTAGATAGGGGGGAGGGAAAGAGAGAGAGGGAGAGAGAGAGAGAGGGAGGGAGGGAAAGAGAGAGAGGGAGAGAGAGAGAGAGAGGAGAAACAAAGAGATAGTGAGAAAAGCAAAGACTGACAGGAGGGGGGAAGTGAGAAAGGGGAGTGGGAAGGAGAGGAAGAGATAGAGTAGTCTGGTGACAAGTGTGAATAAGACATGCTGGGAGAGCAGTATCCATCTTGATCTGTCCACTTAAATGGAGAGAGAGGGAGACAGAGAGAGAGAGAGCACCTCTGTGATTGCATTGCACACACATCTGGGCTGCCAGGGGCCAGCTGGTGGTTAGGCCTCTATTAACGAGGGCATAGCTCATTAAGGCTCTCCTACATATGATGTACCATAATGAGGATCTCACTCAGGGAGGGGGGAGGTGGTAGGGGAGACCTGGGGAGGGAGAAAGGGATGGAAAGGAAAGGAGAGCAATGAATGGAGTGGAGAAGGAATGGGGATGTCTCATGTTCCATCCTTCCCAGTCACTCACTTTCTCACTCATTCAATCTTCCACTCTATATGCCCACTGATTTATCTCTCACTCTCCCCTTCTCTCTTGTAACTGAGTCTCATTTCAGATAGCTCTTTTTGTTTCCTTCTCTATTTCTGTCTCTCTCTTCCTTTCTCACCGAGATCAAATCATTTTAATCTCTCTAAGTGTCTGGGTGTGAGAAGAGGGGTATAATCTGTCAACGCATACACACATACACGCACGCACGTATGCACACACACACACACACACACACACACCTTCCATCAATCTCCCATCCCTGTTTGACATTTACCACCGGTTCGATCGATACCCTGCTTCATCTGCGATCAATAGGTCCATTCTGAGCCCTGCTGCTCGCTGAATTGACCATCTATTACAGCCATCTGTCTGACTGACTGGTTGACTGACTGGCTGGCTGACTGTCTACTGGCTGGCTGGCTGGATGACTGACTGGCTGGCTGGCTAACTATCTACTGGCTGGCTGACTGACTGGCTGGCTAACTGTCTACTGGCAGGCAGGCTGACTGACTGACTGGCTGGCTGGCTAACAATCTACTGGCTGGCTGGCTAACTGTCTACTGGCTGGCTGACTGACTGACTGACTGACTGGCTACTGGCTGACTGACTGGCTGGCTGACTAACTGGCTAACTGACTGGCTATTGGCTGACTGACTGACTGGCTGACTAATTGGCTAACTGACTGACTGGCTGACTGACTGGCTAACAGGCTGACTGACTGGCTGATTGACTGGCTGACTGGCTGGCTGGGCACATTGCTGCTGCTGGGAAAGCTGAGGGCCAAATGAGAAGGGCTAACATCCGCCTGGGCTAAGGGAAACAAACACACTCGCTTAATGCTCCTCACTCCTCTTCGGATAGGAGGTTGTAGGCCCAAGGCAGCACTAGGAGCTGTGTTTGCAGTGAGAAACCCAACACTATATGAGATATGAGAGCAGAGCACTGTGTTACTGCTAAGTTAACCTGAGGCCTGAGCTGATGCAGAGGAAAAGCCTTGTGACGGTGGTTTAGGGTTTAACAGACGATTAGGATCGGTTGTAATTAACAACAGTGTAAGATAAATAATCGACCGGTAATGAGAATATGCCTGAACGTTGACCTCCGGCCCTTGACCTCAATACAGTAACTAGAACTCAGAGGGATCAACTGGAAGGTCATTGTTGCATAAGATGCTTGTGTGGTGAGTCGATAACAGTCCTTTCAAAAGACAAAGATAGTAGATGGAGAAAGGACAGAGGGAGAGGCAGCAAGACAGGAAAGCTAAACAAGAAACACAAGCAAAAAAGACAGAAAGAAAGAAACAGAAGAGGAAATAAAGGTTGTATTGTCACATAAACTGCAGTCATCAGGGATAAAACCATTGGAGAGAGAGTGAGAGAGTGAGAGAGAGATGAGGAATGTGGAAGCTCTTTGGCTGCTGCTGCTGGCTTATCTACAAGCGCTTGTGTAGCCTAGGTACGCGCCTCGGGAAAACTGTGTAGTTTTACAAAATATTTACAGTAAAAAGCAATTAAACGTAATACATTTGTGGAAACCCGAACCTGTCCAAATAATTTGGGGACGGGAGTGGGGGGATCTACTGTTCATAAAAAGCGGTGTTTACCTCGGTGTGGCCACCTCAGGCTGCTAATGTGGGAGACGTCGGGCGGCTTGGGCCAGAGCCGGCCGTGCATTTATCAGAGGATTTAAACGGCCCGCTCTGTTTGCTTTGTCCCTAAAGACTCTCCTCCATCTAATAACAGACGCTCTATGGGCCGCATCTGGGCCAAGAGCAACTCCAGTAAAGAGCAACACAACAATAAAATAAAACAGCAGGCCGGGCCGACGCCAGCCTAACGGAGGGAGAGCCGGAACCGTTGAGGGCCGGAGCTAGGCCAGGCTGAGTCATGTAAGGTGATGTAGATAGGAGTGTTATTGTGGAGATTACTGGGCCTGACATGTTAATATAGTGGGCTTTTGAGAGCGTTGGCACTTTCTGGAGGCTTTCTGTCTGGACGAGTGGGGCCAGAGGAGAAGTTTATGGGGAGTTTGTCTGTTGTGAATCGACTCTGTATAGCAGCTTCCAGTCTTTTGAGGACACAAAGTGATAGTGAAGCTATGACAAAAAGCTAGTGGGTGTTGTAGGTGGGAAAGCTGACAATGATACAGTTCATTTGCTGTGATTAGCTTAGCCACATAAAGTATGTCCCCTTTTAACCCAATGAGTTTGTAGCCTATCACCTGGTTTCTCCCTGTCTGTATTAGGTGACTACTGTAGTGGCTCTTTGATTGGATTACTGGATGTGTGTGTGTACAGGCTTTCGCTGGTACTGGGGAGAGGAATGCAGGCCAGTGCGGACGTGTCTCAGGTGCCCATACACACACTGAGCAGCTCAGTCGCCCTGCACCGACCACACACACACACACACACACACACGCACATGACGTAAATGTGTAAACACACATATAACTCATTCCCCCCCCGACATGCAGCTTCTAATCAAACATCTGGAAACTGATCACAAAATCAATTTTCTTCTCCCTCTCTCCTTCCACCTCTCCCTCTCCTCCCTCTGTCTCTCCCTCCGTCCGCAGGAGAGCCATGTGATAAAAACGCCTCCTTCCTTTGGCGCGTCTGTCATCGTGGAGCGAGGGAACCGTCTCGTCTGTCAGCGCAGACGAAAGGCTGTTTATCAGACGCCTGGGATTTAAACATGCCCTAAATAGTTTATATTGAAATGATTATGTTAGGGGGGCAGGACGGTGCACGTCCCACAGGGTCTGGCACACAGAGAGACAGAGCAGCGAGACAGAGGGCTCTGCCTACAATACCTCACAGCATGACATTTACCTCCCCGCTAACTACTAACCCCACAAAACCACAAACAGCTATCTCCAATACTCTGTATACATTAACAACCACACCACTACCCACTATCTCTGTGCTATAAAACACCTCTACCCCCTAGGCCTATCTACACGTTACAACACACCACAACCCGATATGACTATCTTCAATTTTAGACAGCAGAGCACAGTCACACACACTACACTCCTATGGGCCAGCTCAGTTGTGATATCAGCTAGCTTAGCCAAGACCCTGTCAGCCCATATAACCTGTCACAGATCAGGAGATCTGTGTGTGCTGTTGCCAAGGTTACAGGAAGCTTTGGTCCATGCAGGGGGCCAGCATGGCGACAAGGTGGGGAGTTCTATATGTGGCCAAGCCCCAATTGCCAGTAGGGAGCATGAGACAGACAGGCAGTTGAAATGGTCTGAATAAAATGTATTTTATGATCAGTTAAAACCCTTGGCTGACTGGGCCCTAGGCTCAGGGAGAGATATCTGTCCCTGACAGCGACAGCCAGAATTAATGCTGGCTGGGTGGAGACTGGAGAGGAGTTCAGAGTTTATAGTTCAGTTGAGATGGGTGAGTTCAGTGAGTTCAGGTATTAATACACCAACATGGGAAAACAATGATTGCATGGTATTTTCCTTCCTAATATGTTAGAGTGTGTGCTTGTGTGTGTGTATTCAGTGTGATTGCTGACGAGTGTATGGTTAACGTGTGCCTGCATGTGCATGTCTATCGCGTAGGTAGTTGTGTGTATGTGTGTGTTTGCAGTCAGTGGCAGATGGCTCCCCCCATGTTTTCCTGCTCCGTCCCTCCACCCTTCATGCCCAGCTGATGGATGGTGATGGGTGATGGATGTGTTGCTGTCTGAACTGTCTCTCAGCTCCAGCTCAGATCAGGTCAATCACTGGTGGATTTATGGAGCCCAGGGGCCTAACTCAGCCAAATTATCTGGGCGGGACACAGCCGGACTGCAGCTCTATCCATCTTCTCCACTCAACACGCCCCCGGAAAACACAGGAGAGGCTAACTTTTCATTTTCTTGCACCATAAAGGCTTGGTTGTCCTGTCAAGCACACAAATCAAAGGCCTAGACAGACTGGAGTGGAAGTTGTTCACACAAGCTGCTGGGGTTTGAACTTGACATTGGAGCGACAGACAGACAAGATGTTTTCTCACACTGCAACCAATGCAGGGCTGGACCATTCCCGTCACAGCTAACTTTGTTAGCAAACAATGGTGTTGCCATAGAGAATTCTACGATATATCATTATCAACTGGTTTCACTGACCATAATGGTGCCCTCCGATATGATGTGTCCAAACAAAACTATCCCCATGCTCTGCCTCACTTCAACTAAAGAGCTGACATGACAACTGAGAATGAACGATATGACATGACAACTGAGAATGAACGATATGCCATGACAACTGAGAATGAACGATATGCCATGACAACTGAGAATGAACGATATGACATGACAACTGAGAATGAACGATATGACATGACAACTGAGAATGAACGATATGACATGACAACTGAGAATGAACGATATGCCTATCCTCTATGCTGGAGATATGATGGATGGTGGTAGGTAGTAATTCTCTCTGTAACCACCCTCTGTTGTGTCTCCCCACTATACAGCTGGGTGGCGCTGTGTGAGTGTGTGTGAGTGTGTGTGTGTATACTATATGTATGTGAGAGAAGAGAGACAGTGCAGCGTGGGCCTCACTGTTCAAACAGCTCAAAGTTTGCCGATGCGTCGTCTGCCTGCCAGCCAGACAGCCCCGGCTCCAGTATTCACACACTTACATGCCACATTCTCAAACTGCTTGACACGAAATACACACACACACACACGCGCATGCGCACACACACTTGGGCACACAGTACACACACACAACATTGGACATAAAGAGTCGCTGCCACCTCCGCCCTGTAACATACATGTCGTTCCTATGGCGACTCCTACAGCAGTTCCCCTCCTCGAACATGTTTTGTCACTTGTGCAGAGTTGGGTTGAGCAGCGAAGCAACAGCACTCCTCATATCCTCAGTGTAGTTCTTCTTCAACTACTCTGATGTGAACCAACTCAACTCAACAGTCCTAGGCAAACTCTTAGCCCTTTTGTTTTATCTTCCCCAGTCTCTTCTTCAGATCAGTGCAGATGAAGGAAAGGAGATGTGGAGATGAGGAGATAAAGTAGCCACTCTTGAGATGCACCCAAATGTGTCTCATGCAAGCCAGACCATGGTGTTCCAGTTCCTCAGACATATCAATGATCCCTGATACCAAAAATACAGTGAGGGAAAAAAAGTATTTGATCCCCTGCTGATATTGTACGTTTGCCCACTGACAAAGAAATGATCAGTCTATAATTTTAATGGTAGGTTTATTTGAACAGTGAGAGACAGAATGACAACAAAAAAATCCAGAAAAATGCATGTCAAAAATGTTATAAATTGATTTGCATTTTAATGAGGGAAATAAGTATTTGACCCCCTCTCAATCAGAAAGATTTCTGGCTCCCAGGTGTCTTTTATATAGGTAACGAGCTGAGATTAGGAGCACACTCTTAAAGGGAGTGCTCCTAATCTCAGCTTATTACCTGTATAAAAGACACCTGTCCACAGAAGCAATCAATCAATCAGATTCCAAACTCTCCACCATGGCCAAGACCAAAGAGCTCTCCAAGGATGTCAGGGACAAGATTGTAGACCTACACAAGGCTGGAATGGGCTACAAGACCATCGCCAAGCAGCTTGGTGAGAAGGTGACAACAGTTGGTGCGATTATTCACAAATGGAAGAAACACAAAAGAACTGTCAATCTCCCTCGGCCTGGGGCTCCATGCAAGATCTCAACTCGTGGAGTTGCAATGATCACGAGAACGGTGAGGAATCAGCCCAGAACTACACGGGAGGATCTTGTCAATGATCTCGAGGCAGCTGGGACCATAGTCACCAAGAAAACAATTGGTAACACACTACGCCGTGAAGGACTGAAATCCTGCAGCGCCCGCAAGGTCCCCCTGCTCAAGAAAGCACATATACATGCCGTCTGAAGTTTTCCAATGAACATCTGAATGATTCAGAGGAGAACTGGGTGAAAGTGTTGTGGTCAGATGAGACCAAAATGGAGCTCTTTGGCATCAACTCAACTCGCCGTGTTTGGAGGAGGAGGAATGCTGCCTATGACCCCAAGAACACCATCCTCACCGTCAAACATGGAGGTGGAAACATTATGCTTTGGGGGTGTTTTTCTGCTAAGGGGACAGGACAACTTCACCGCATCAAAGGGACAATGGACGGGGCCATGTACCATCAAATCTTGGGTGAGAACCTCCTTCCCTCAGCCAGGGCATTGAAAATGGGTCGTGGGTGGGTATTCCAGCATGACAATGACCCAAAACACACGGCCAAGGCAACAAAGGAGTGGCTCAAGAAGAAGCACATTAAGGTCCTGGAGTGGCCTAGCCAGTCTCCAGACCTTAATCCCATAGAACATCTGTGGAGGGAGCTGAAGGTTCGAGTTGCCAAACGTCAGCCTCGAAACCTTAATGACTTGGAGAAGATCTGCAAAGAGGAGTGGAACAAAATCCCTCCCGAGATGTGTGCAAACCTGGTGGCCAACTACAAGAAACGTCTGACCTCTGTGATTGCCAACAAGGGTTTTGCCACCAAGTACTAAGTCATGTTTTGCAGAGGGGTCAAATACTTATTTTCCTCATTAAAATGCAAATCAATATAACTTTTTTGACATGCATTTTTCTGGATTATTTTGTTGTTATTCTGTCTCTCACTGTTCAAATAAACCTACCATTAAAATGATAGACTGATC